GACCGAAAATTACTGTTCACCAATGTGTGCTTGTTGGTTTATGGACATGTACCATAGTGTACTTCTGTAAGGACATCTATAGTATGTACCCCCTCTCTCTTGTTCAGCTCATAGTAGATGACTGGCAATCGATCTTAGAGTGACCGCAAAGCTGGTTGTTCACCTTAGATAACCCTTGTTCCAGAATTCTGTCTTATTAGTTTGTTAGTGGTATTAGTTTAGTTTATTATTTAGCCCCTTAGTTGAATTAGTATAGTTCAGTATATAGTAGTTATTTAAGCATTCTCGTTCGCGGTATCTTAATAAACCAAACGAAACATAAAAGTAAACTTATAAACTAAATAATCAACTACAAACTAAACTATAAAACTAAAAGAAACCATAGGGATAGGAGTCAAGGGGTATGCAACGTGGGCCACCTAACTTTTTTGTTACTGATTTTAGGTCAGGGGAAACTTGAACTAGAAGGCCTGCACCTAAATTCTGAGAATTCGTTGTTACACAAAGATAGGGTTGCTCGTCCGGCCTCTACCTTCCAGATCACCCATTCTGGTCAGCAGTCAGCTAACAGTTTCGCGCGTATCAGTGGTTAATAGTAGAAGGCAAATAAAGTGAGGCCCAACCCGGAGAATCTCCTGATGGCCAATCAGCACACTACCCATTATAATACTTTAGCATGCTTGAACCTATTATAAGGTGGCTTGGACGACCGCCAGTTAACTTGGTTCTACTCAGGTCCGGCTGGTACGGTTATTGTTCATCGTGGCCTGATGAATGGTGCATGGATTTATGGGCTTGTAAAATGTGTTGCCGGGCTAGCCATTGCGCCCACGCCCAAAACCATAGTCTGGCATCTGAACGCAGCGAGTGTGGGAGGTGCAACTGCCTCGCTATAAACAACTTTGCGCACACCTTACGGCTACGACCACGTATTTGGACAGTTTTGAACTTCATCGCAAGTGGCTGTCGAGCTCTACTTGCCATATCTGTGCGCCTCCCGATCGACTTACTTGTGTCCGATTTGTTCGGTAGTTAATCAAATGCCAGACCAAAGGTCGGCCTGCAACTTGGTGTTGTTTTCCGCGCCGAACTTCGCTACCAACTACCAATACGTTCAACTTTTTTGATCGGGTTTTTCCTGAACTGGACGGTGTGGCCGTGTGTGTGCTTGTCTTCGCTCCCCTTTTTCATTGTACTTTTAAATCCAACAATGATCGCGCTTAGCGAATTTTATCTGTGTAAATGGGTTGGCTTTGCCTAACGCCATGTCTGGATACCACTGTCCGTACTATGGGCTACTAACCAACCAACCATCACTGTCCGTACCTTCTGTGGCATCCTAGTTGATCCTGGCAGCTTACGATTATAATACCTCTACTAGCTATTATATAGAGTTTATCGCGTAGGCGCTGCTTCCGTTCCTGCAGGCAAAGTTATCTTTTCACTGATTCTATGTATTATTCAAATCCTTCTACAGCGGACGGTTTCGTTTAGGCTGCTTAGTACACATAAGTTGCGTCCCTGCCATTTTCTTATAAGGATATGGGAAGGAAGTGTTGGCCGGATTGCTCTATCCGCCGTCTCTGCATACTATGAGCTGTCGACAGAGGCGTGCCTGCTTACTATTACTTACTTGTAATTGTTGCGGCTGCGATCATGATTGATCTAGCCGGCCTCAATGAGGTCCCGTACGGTGTTTCTCCATGCGCGATGATCCGTGGCCGCAGACCTGGACAGTCGGAGCCCTTCTCTTCGCCAGCTCCGGAGACCGAAGGCCCAAGAACCACTTCCATGTCCTGATGGAATGAGTCGAGCCAGGTTTTGAGTTGACTCACTCTTCGACGTTTCCAAATAGGTAAAAGTTTCAAGTCGAGGGCAGTAACACTGAACTCCTGACGTTGACGACGAAGAACAGATTGAAACCTCAGTCGTCTTCCTTGAATGGCCTGGGATATCCTTGTGATTTTATCGCAGCGAGTGCGGACTGTCTTATTTGAGACGAAGTCAGTGTACTTCACTTGAGGAATGGTGCTCAAACAGTAGTGGTCAAAAACTTCCAGCTTCTGTTCATCTTCCACGCGCATAGCCCAACATTAACATCCGTATAGGAAATCGGACTGCACAGATGCACTGTATACGCGCACCGTTGTGGAAATAGAAATATCGCGTCGGATCTATAGGCACTTTCGAAGGCTGGCGAAAACTCGTCTTGCTGCGTCAATTCGGGAGACAATGTAATCTTTACCCTGTCCATTCGGCAGCAACCTCGCTCCGAGGTATTTGAAGCTGTCTACTTCAAGTTGGCAGCCACTAATCTCGAGAGGTGCCTTTTCTTGGGATGCAGGGATGCAGCATGAAAACACTTTAGTTTTCCCAGTGTTTATGGACAAACCGACCAATTTCGCGACCTTATCTTGACACTTGCAAAATATGTAAAAATAACGGAAGTGCCCGCCCTGTGTGCGGAAGCATTCATGTGATATATTGGTTGCGATATCTCATGAAATATTAGCCGAAATTCGGAGATGTGTTTTCTGATTCGGAAAGCTTACTCGAGTAGAGTTGGTATATTAATTATCTTACAGCATACTGACAGGGTTTTTCGGCCACATCAAGGTGCCAGCTTTTTAGTCGCCCGCAAGAACTGCAGTCTGTAAAAAATGGGCATTTCAGTAGTATGCATTCGCTCATTGATTTCAGTGCTCTTATAAATTTAGGTATATTTTGAGTTGACCCAATTGTGAAAAAACTCGAGGTTTTCAGCGGGACTCGATCCCGCATAGTAGAGAAGGCCTTTGCCGGAAGCCAACGCTCTAATCACTTGAACTACAAACGCCCCATCTCGCGCCATGAATTTACTCACACTTGGGTCGATTTTACCCGCCCAACTTCACCGCTCGTATGGGATCCATAAATACGGAACAGCAAGCTGACTGCCCAAGGAGGATTTCCTAAGCAATCATCTGGAATCCACCAGAATGACTGCTAGGCTGAATTAATTGTTTGGAAGATTTGCTTTATTTGAGTTGACCCAATTGTGAAAAGTTATGCAAATCTGCATATTTTTGATTTCTTGTACTCGGAAAGCTACGTATTTTTCAAATGTGTTATTTGAAAGCAGTATATCTTTCGGTGGCCGACATAGCGACCTCGTCTACGCGTGTCATATAAAAGATCTGGCCAAGCCGTTAAGTTGTGTGGTGCGGGGGAATAGGCGCAGTAGCTGGCCTAGTTAATGACCTCGTCTAGCCGTATTACCTACACGTCCGGGCCTCCCTGAGCACATACACCATAATTTCGCGCAAAAGAGTTTAAACGGCTTACATCTCATATGCATGGATCGTAACGTTGTTGTCGGACATACCGGGACATCATTAGGGCCGGCTAGATCACTCATGATCGCAGCCGCAACAAGTACAAGTAGTAGTAGTACATCTCGCATGCCTGACAATTCCAGAGGTCACGTTTAGAAAGAGCCATGACAGCCTGACTCTCTGTCCACCAGTGGGGGCCACTTTGCAAAAAAATTCCTTTACTATACACACCTACACGTGGAACGGAATAATATAGAAATATTGACCTAAATCCGGCCTATCAGGCCCTCCGTACCAGACTCCAATCATTGTTTATTGTTTACGCTTGCATGCTCGAACGCGCCTTTTTTTGCTTGTCCTTATTGGTGGTATTTATTTCTTCTTAGGCTGCCTTGCTCCTTCTTCTCCTACGTCATCCTCGGCGCCTACGTGGTCCAGTCCGACGCGGGCGACTTCGATCCCGAACAGCACCACGGTATTGAGTACCTTCGCGACCACCCCTTTGCACCGCAACACCTGCAAAGTCCCGAAATGCTCTACAGGATAGCAGCTGCGCATCGTCTTCTCCAGTAAGCATTGTTTTCCCCTCTGCCTGCCTACGTGATCTAATATTTTGCTCTCTCTGTACGTTTCTGTGCCTATGAGTCACACTGCCCTGCAGGGCGTAGCCCCCGTGGGCGTCTTGTGGTTCAGGGCGTTGTCTCCGCTTGCTCACCCCGCCTACCCTTTTGATTACAACTACCGGCGATGTTACATCTGCGGCTGACGCAATGACTACACACTGCACCCTTCCGGTTACTGGTCTCAGGCGGTCTGAGCCTTCTTTTGTGGCGTTTTGTGAACACGCCCGGAAGGACT